CTCATCACCTCTCATAGTCTGTCGGAGGTTTCTTCCGTTAAAAGGAGTTTTTCCTCCCCACTATCACCAAGTGCTACTCAAGGGGTTATTTATGTTTGAAATGAAATTAAACTGAATGTTGACCGAAGTTACTGTCTCCCACAACAATGTGATTCTAATGCTGAAGTTACCTGTTGTAACAGTTGATGTCATCCAGCCAGCACCCCTGTTTCACCACCTGCACCACTCCTGATACGTTCTTCCAGGTGGCAAAGCAATGCAACCTCTTATCTTTTTCTCCAGAGCAGGTCACCACCGCACTGATGTTCTGCTGACCATCCAACACAGATGAAGATGAGAAGGAAGGGCTGTAGTTGTAGTGGACACACTTCTGAGACCCTGAACGGCCCAGGATGGCACCTGAGGAACAGACAGAAAGATGTCAGAACATACCTGATTCTCAACATGAACAGATCAGCCTGTGTGCAGCTGACACAAGGTTCGCTCTCCTCTCTGCTCTATCCATTCACCCCAACCAGTCAAGACAGAAGGCCGACCACCGAGAGCTGAGGTCTGTCAGAGGTTTCTTTTGTTAAAGGGAGTTTTTCCTCCCCACTGTCAAGTGCTGGTCAAGGGGGATTTGTTAGGTTTTCCTTATAATACTGTAAGGTCTAGACCTGACTACATAAAATTCCTTGAGATGTTTTTTTTGTAATTTGGAGCTACAGTATACAAATAAAAATGAATTGAACCGAATTATACTGAAGGGGGGTCAGGCAACAATGCAACAAAATTCAGATAGTATTCCCTGAGACGTAAAACAGACAATTTAAGAATAGTGTAAACAATACAGGAGATAGCAGCAATAGTGGATTGTAACAGTGGTCTATATGTAACAAAAAAAAAAACAAAACTAAAATCTTTAGGACACATTAGAAACAGTCTCACACAATGTGTGTGAGAGGTAAAGTAAAGGAGGTGACTCAGGACATGTTCATTATGTTGACAGCTTGGGGGGAAAAGCTGTTTTTTCAGTCTTGTAGTATGTGTCTGAATTGTCCTGTAAAGCCTGCCAGAGGGGAGTAACTGGGAGTTATAGTAACTAACTAACTAACTAAAATCTAAAAAGAACAACCTGCCATATGTGTCAGGATGGTATAGGCACTCCAGTACCGTGTAGGGGGCAGCACAAACTGTATCTTCTGTTGATCTGTTTGCCCAATAGGCAAACTGGTGCCAGTCTAGTGTAGCAGGGATGGAATGGTTAATCTGGGCCACACTTAATATCTCAAAGCTTTTAGTTATTACCGGTGTGAATGCAACTGGACAATAGGTGTTTAAACAACTAATGCTTTTTTGCTTGGGAAGAGGCACAATAGTTTAAGATTGTTTAAAATGGCGCTGCAGAGGGCTCCCTCAGTTATTTGCTCCTGTTTGCTCTTGTTTTTGTTGGTTTCCTGGGATAACTTTTACTAGAGATGAGCTTCTGAACATCCGGCAGCTCAGTCTGAACATCTTTTCTCTCATTATTACCAGTAATGAAACCTGTTTGGACATTTTAGCCAGCAGAACAGCAGCACTCCTTGGGACATGGAGGAGATGTCAAAGGGGGAGGCATGTATGCACCCTGGTAAGACTACAACAGCGGACTTACCAAACGCCACTCCCAGCAAATCTCCACTCTCTAACCAACAAAATTGATGAACTGCTTCTCCTAAACTGAACTAATTCTGACTTTTCACATTCAGTTGCTTTATGCTTTGTCAAGACATGGTTCAACGACTCAATCCCAGAGGGGGTCGTTCAGCTGCCGAGATTTCAGATCCACAGATGGGATCACTTAAAGGAGTTATCTGTGAAAATGAGAGGAGGTGGAATCTGCTTATGCATTAATGAAGAGAACTTGTAACACGGACTTAGAAACATTATTCATTAACTTCCAACCATCCTATTCATCCAGGGAATTTTCCTCATTTATCCTGGTCAGTATTTACATTGTATATACAGTAACTGTGGAATACTGTATACCATAAAACCATGATATTTTATGAGACAATTATCATACTGTGAAAATCTCATACCTAGTTTTCACTCATTTTTAATGCACAAATTGAAAATGTAAATAAAAATAAGTGGATAGAGTCAGACTTAAAACAGGATGGTCAAAGGTGAACATGAAGGCAGCTGTTAGTCTACACCAATCAGAGATTTACCTCCAACAGCTAGAGGACTGTCCACAGCATCAACCAGTGTGTACTGTCTCTACTCTTTCTACTACCTCTAATGTTGCCATTGGAAAGGTGTTTTTTTATATATAGACAGGTGGAACCTCACATGAAATCACTTTTTTTCCCAAAGGTCAAAAGCACAGGTATACAGGTGTGAGACCGCTTGTCAGCATATGTCATAGCCCACCTGTGTGTTACTGGAGGTCAAACAACACTCGGGTGTGTGTGTGTGTGTGTGTGTGTGTGTGTGTGTGTGTGTGTGTGTGTGTGTGTGTGTGGGTGTGTGTGCATGTGTACAAAAACCTGAGGAAAGGCAGAGATTTCATTACTGCACTGCACATGCGCACACACAAGCACTATACAATGCACACACACAGCAGGAGAGCTGATGGTGAACATTAAACTCTTGATTCTCATCCAGATGTTTACTGTAGCAGCTCCGTGTCCAGAAGTTCTCCTGACACCACTGCTACAAAGTTCAACATTCGGTCACATTCATGCTGGGCTTTTACTGTAAAACATGTGCAGGAAGTGCTCAGCAATCCTTATTTCTGTTCCAGCCTCTCACATTCATATTTGCTAAATGTGTTGTTCATGCAGATGTTTAATATCAGAGCAGACTCTGATATTAAACATCTTTGTGTTTCTGATGAATCCATTTAAATAAGTCAACTCTGACACAGACTAACATTACACATAGTACTACTAACAATATAACAGACACCCTCATTATTAATCATTTTCTCTGTTATCTGTTTTGTAAAAAAGGTCAAACTGTCCATCTCAGAATGTCAGAGTCCAGAGACACAGTCTACTGTGATGGGAAACAGAAAATCTGATACACTGGACAAACTTGCTCCAGACCCGTGAAAAATGACCTGGAAGAAATCTGTCCAACAAACATATCAGCCAATGGTTTCAGCTGTGAAGTGAGTATCTCTGGACACTTGGATCAGATGAACAGTTAGTCAATTAATCAATCATCCAATCCACAGAAGAATCAGTGATATTCAATTTATCGTTTCAATAACATTTAAAGAAAAAAACTGTCAAAAATGTCAAATATGCTCTAGTTCCAGGCTCTGGAATCAAGGTGCTTCATGTTTTTCTGTTAAACATTGGTGTAAACTGAGCAGTTTAGGACAAAAGCAGACACCTGAAGATGTCACCCTGATAGGTTTGGGCATTTTTACACACACATCCGCCGGTATCACCTTCTCTAACTGTATAGTTTTTATGCATTTTCTTATTTTTCTGTGAAAGTTAAGTGAAAATAGGTCAACCTGGGATCTTGGAAACGATGAGGGGCATTTTATTTTCCGTTTTTTTTTAAATATAATAATAACCACCTTTATTGGCCAAGTATGTTACACACAAGGTATTTGTTTCCGGTACAGAACCGAGGCAGCCATCTGAGGCGCCAACTCAACCAATGGCTCTAACCATCGGGGGCAACTTGGGGGGTCAGTGTCTTGCCCAAGGACAGTTGACACGTGGACTGCAGGCACCGAGATTCGAACCTCCGATCCTTCGGTTGGGAGACGACTGCTCTACCCACTCGCCATTTTTAGACATTATAAAAATAATTAGCAGATTACTTCATAACAATAATCCATACTTCAATCTCTAGAACCGGAACTGTTTCTGTTTGCTAACATTTGATAAACAAATTCAAGTAATCTGTTACTGGGAATAGATTCAGAAGGCGATGTGCATTGTGTCCCCCCCAACAGGTACACTCACCTGAGGAGCAGGAGATGAGGAAAACACTGAAGGCCAGTTTGGTCGCTGAGCCCATAGTGGATCCAAACACAAAAGCTTTTAATTTAGCAGTAGTCCCAAAGAGCAGAAGGATTCACGTCCCATTTAAACTAGTTCCGACTGATGGTGGACTCCGAGAAGCTGCAGCATGACTCGGGCCTTTATGAGTTTAATGTGTTCAAATATGACATTTCACCACCGGGAAATGAATTAAATCCTGAGCGGCAGACGGTCCCGTTGACCCGAGGATAGGCCCAGTTAGAGAGTTGGCTCTGCTACCTGCCGAGAGACCAGTGCCAACACTGGACTTTCAGGTGTGTTCTTCTGGATCAAATCGGTTCACCGTGTCATTATGGTCAGACATGTAGGTGGCATCGGAGACTACTCCGGGATCACAGGGAACATTTCAATCTAGCTGCAGTGGCCAGTGTTCCCAAAGTGGGATTACGTGGAGCTGTAGCTGCCAGGTGCTAAAGTCGCTCCAAATTCCAACTTTATTTACAAAAAGCCTGTCCTGGCTAACCGTAATAACCGAAGGGGCAGTTGAAGCCGAAAGGCTCACGACGTGTTTTTATCTAAAATAAGCGTTTGTTTCGCTGCTCCGCACAACATACTGGTGGTGTGATCTCGGATCTCCGTTCACTCTAGAAGCAGTCGTGCACAAGCCACGATGTTTCCGAGCGGAGCTGTAGCCTCAGTGCGCCACTGACGATCTCAACACGGTCATCGAACAGCTAGCTGGCCCGGCTAGTCGTTAGTTTAGCTCCACGGGCTAGCAGTCCTGGGGAGCAGGTTTCCTCACCGGTAACCGAGGAGGAAACCCACGGACCACAAGCACAACCATGCAGGTTCCCCTGAGCGCTGCGGTGTGCCCGCCGTGTATAATATCCTGAACTGAATCAAAACAAACATTGTGGTTTGTTGTTCTCCATTCTCAGTTTCAAGATTTCCCAGCCTGAGCGAGCACAGGCAAGATGGCCGCCGCGCCCAGGTTATTATTTTTTAGCATCTATTTCCATGGTCATGTTAGCGCCGTGGATAATGCACACTAGCATTGGCCAATAGTACGCGTGGAAGGACCTTTGCTTAGATAGTTCCACCAATCCTGAGCGGCGTCCTGACGTAGGACGCCTGGAATGACAGAAAAGGACCGCCTCCTGTCAGAAAGAGTGCGTGTCGTCAGATCCATGATTTAAGAGCATTCAAACTGAAAACACGGATTAACAGTTGAAGTAACAGAGAAAAGGATTAATGCAGGCTGGATTATATTAAAGAGTAGCATAAATTATCTTCACATTATGTCAGAAAAATCACATGCCTCCTAAAAGGTTAGTCTATGAGGTAAAACAGCTGTCAATAATATGCGTGCTTAATAGTCTATGGTTTATTCTATAACCGCTTCTAAACCAAGAGCTAAACAACCACACATCTGAGTGGGGGGGATCCACTGTGCAGCCAACTATGGTAGGTTCAGATCCAGTTCACCGTTCACCTTTTTCCTTCGTTTGTCACTGTTTAATACTGAGGCAGTAGCATTAATGTTATTTCTTCCGAAAAAAGAGGTATTTTTTAACCTTTTAAGACACATCTGATTTTGGGTCAGATTACCTACATTAAACAGACCTCTGCACCCTTGTAAGAACCCATAGATCCACTTTCAGGAGCCCATATAAACTCCTAAAATAACCACTAGAAATTCCTAAAGTACTGTACCACCAAATTAATTTACAGAAGTACCTATATAAAGGTTCTGCAGTGACCATTACAAACCCCTAGCCCTTTTGTTAAAAACTTCCTCAATAACCAGTAAAAGTCTCCAGGAATCATCTACAGGTCCAATGCAAACACATACTATTAGCACCATCCCCAGGACCTCTAGATTCTCCTCATTGGCCACAGGCCCAATATAACCACCTAAACTACACATTAAATGTCTGCTGTGAACAAAAGAATCCCGTAAAGGACCCCTAGAGACCTTGTGTTTGTGACTTGACCCCTGTGTAATCCACCTGAAACAACAGCGGGACCACTGGATTTTCCTCATCAGCCACCAGGACCATTTACAGGTCCACTAAAACCACTTAAAGGTCCTCCAGAACCCCTTTGTCAGTCACTATATCTCTTAAGGGTCCACTAGAATGCCCTAAAACTACTTAACCTGGCCTCACCCTTTCAGGCCACATAAAAAAACTGTAGGTCTGGTGGTTTATATGGGCAGAGTTCTCATCACCTGGCCAATCAGCAAACACTCAATCAGTCCAATGAGAGGACACCACCTGCAGCACATTGTTCTCATCCACATTAAGAGTCTTCCTCATCAAAGTCCCCCAACTGTCCAGATCAACAAAAATCTAAATATGATAATTATTACTGTTGTTGTCATTGTCAGAAACAAGCCAGTGTCCAACAAACAGAACATGTGACCATATTGGGTGAAATAAGCATATAGTATTTGTAACACAAATGTGATCACACCAAATACAATATGTTCCTTTTTCTACCGTTACTGATTTTAATGTTTTATGATACTGTGATCAAACGTGCTCTGTTTTGTGGAGCGGTACTCTGCATCTCTACATGAAGGCTGTTGGAGTTTTTGACTGTGATAACAACAGCTCCACCGGAGGGCGGCACAACATCATGCTTCCTCCAGCTGATCAACGACTGAAAGGTTGGGCTGAACAGAGATATGGGAGGGATACTTTCACTTTTCACCGATAAGCAACAAGGGCTCTCCCACGTGCTGGTCAAATTTAAAGCAAGATAAGACACCAACAGTAAAAAGGAGCTAAGTAAACACAACTATGTTCAACAATAAATGATTAAATCAAATCACCCCATTAAACAGAAGAGATGACATCCAGTAGATAGTTTTATAACTAGAAAACAAGTAAATAAGTATTTAGCCATGAACATGCTTGAAATGTCATGTGGTCAATGTCAATTGACCAGCAGAACATCCTGCACAACACAAGAAATACATGAAGCACAACTAAAGTCACCCACAGTGCCACTAGACCAAACTTCATATTCAAAGGGTTAGGGTCCAAAACTGATTTCTAGTCAATGTCAAAGGTCTGGAACGATTAGTGATAAGCAAATTACTTTTATTAAACTTGCTTATAACTTACAAGCAACATACACTCGAGTTTAAGGCAGTCTGAGATAAAATAGATTCAAGCCTAGTGGAAAAATGCCACAGTTTGACTGTCTGAAGTTTCAGTAGCAGCTCTCTCTTGCAAACAACTTGTTTGTTGATTCATAGGAAGACTTGAACTGTCCACGTTTTTCAGTCCTCACTTCTGTGTTCTCATTGTCTGTGCAAATCAAACACAATGGCCTCATGCTGAACTGGGGCAAAATGAACGCATATTCCTCTGTCCACTCGCCCTTGAGCTCTGTCACTTGTTGACGTTAAACATCATACACTCACTGGCTGTCAGCGTTGCAGTGACAACGATGTCAGACAGGGAAACGATTACGTTAAGCCTTTTATTCTCGGGCTAGGATTGCTGTAATAATCACCAAATAGACTATATTCTACAAAACTAACAATTTCTTAATAAGTGTAAAACATTTTTTCCAAGCAGGAAATATACATTTCATTACATTGTATTACTGCATTCCTAATACGAGGTGTGGGCTGGGTCCGTCCTTTGACAAGCCGAGCACTAGACTGTGTCAAGGGATAACAACAGCCTCAAGGTCCACTAAATCTAAGTACTCATTGCCACTATACATGACATTAAACATCACTAATATTTATTAGAAACAGGCTCAAATGGTCTGTAAGGCCCCAGGTACACACGAACATTACTTTAAATGAGTTACTGTTGTTTGTGCTTTACTGTCACACAACAGAAACAGAAATCTGGACAGGTTTAATGTTTCTGCTGTAAAATCAGTAAATCACACCAATATTGCTTCCTCATGTTACATTCTCTTATTATATATTTTTATTATATCTCTGAATTTGCTGCTTTAAAGTGCCTTAGATTTTGTGTTATTTCTCTACTTTATATTTCATTTGTATTGTGTGACATTCATGTGGATGGCAAAGTAAGAATTTCATTGTACAGGAAAACGCATTTCTATATATAACAATAAACACTTTGACTTGACTTGGGGCTGCAGGTGCATTAGAGGTTCCAAGAAATGAATGAATAAAATAATAAAAACAGGTCATGAAGAAGAAACTGGGTTGCTCCCAGTGGCCAGGCCAACGCTTTGCATGGCAGCTCCACCGCCGTGTGTGTGTGTGTGTGTGTGTGTGTGTGTGTGTGTGTGTGTGTGGGTGTGTGTGTGTGGTAGGAATTGTAAAGCACTTTGTCCAGCAAGCTAGAAAAGGGTTCTAGCTTGCAGTTCATTTACCATTTACTGAAGAATCTGAAAACAGTGTCCATTTACTCATTTAACAACAGAGCTCATCAGTCTATAGAACAGTTAATAATGCAGTGCTTGATTAAGTGAACAGTAACAGATGGTGCAAATGAGCAGCATTCACCATAACCACACAGTTTTAATATAACATCATAAGAGAGGAGACGGAGGCTGAAGGATCCCTTAGAAACTCCTCATCCTCAGTCTGACACAGAAACATCAGAAGCACCATGAAGATGAGTTCATCTGTTTAGGAATTACAACCATTTTTATACAAAGTCCCCTGTTTTCAGTGGTTCAAAAGTAACTGCACAGTTGACTGCCAAGCAGTTTCATGGCCAGGTTTAGCAACTGAAGTGGGTGATTGTAGGATTCCTCCCTTGTTGAAGAAAAACTCCTTCACAGCATCTCCCGAAGTCAAGAACACTCTGGAAGAGGCATGTGTTGCCAGAGGCTACAGTCAGGAGGAGCCTTTGTGAATGTAAATACAGAGGGTTTACCTCAAGATGCAGACCACTGGTAACACTCAGGGACAGGAAGGCCACAGTAGACTTTGCCAGAAAACATCTGAACAAGGCTGCACAGTTCTGGAGAAAGATTCTCTGGTCAGATGAAACCCAGATTAACTTGTACCAGAGTCATGGGAGGAGCATGGAGAACGACAGGAAGGACTCGTGGTCCAAGGCATGCACCATCATTTGTCACTATATGTGGAGGCAGTGCTGGGGCATGGCCATGTGTTGCCTCTAATGGAACTTGATCACTGCTGTTTACTGATGATGTAGCAGTAGCAGGATGAATTCTGAGTATATAGATCTATACTAGATACTCACATTCAGCCAAATGCCACATAACAACAGGACGGTGCTTCACAGTGCAGAAGGATAATGACCCAAATCATACAGCGAATACAACCCAGGAGCTTCTCAAGGCAAAGAAATGGAATATTCTTCTCTTCAGTGGCCAAGTCAGTCACCTGACCTCAACCCAGCTGAACTGCTTGTCACTTACTAAAGGTAAAACTAATGCACAAGGGCCTACAAACAAGCAACAACTGAAGGCCACTGCAGTAAAGGCCTGGCAAAGCATCTCAAAGGAGGAAAATCAGAATCTGGTCACGTCCATGAGCTCCAGACTTCAGGCATTGACTGCAAAGTATCTGCATCCCTCTGAAAATGGGCTACTTTATATAAAAATGAATTCCTAAACAGTTATTGTGATGCTTTTGTAAAACCCCTTGAATTAGAGCTGAAATTCTACACTTACATATTGACTGCTTCATTTCAAATCCATTGAGGTGGTTGTACAGAGGCAAAAGTACAAAAATTGTCCTTGTCCAAACACTTATGAACCTGACTGTACCTGTGATATTTGTATGTGTCTTACCTGTACAGATATGTGATATATCTTACCTGATGGCAGTAGAGTTGTGTAAAATCATTCTTTAGCAGACATTTGGTTGTTTAAGCTCTTGAAGTGATCATGGAGACCTCTCCAGTGGACTGAAAACAGCTGCAGTGCATAGAACTATATCCAGTAATAAAGGCACTATTAACATTTACATTGGAATGAAACTGGCCTGACTGATCACACTAATCGATGTATGGATGGATGACACATTTGAGATCAGCTTTCCTGTATGTGAAGACTCCGATCAGTTCAGTGTTTGATAAAT